CGGACCATATGCGTATGCCTAGATTTCTATAGCCCTTGCCTATCCCTATTTGGAAATGGGACAATATTTTCATGGACTTTGTTGTGGCTTTGCCCCGCACGGCAAAAGGGTATGACTCTATTTGAGTCATCGTGGATCGCCTCACCAAGTTCGCTCATTTCCTCCTGGTGGATACAAGGTATTCATCTAAGAAGTATGCCAAGTTGTATTTGATCAGGTTATGACCCTACATGGAGTTCCTCTTACCATCGTTTCTGATAGAGGGTCAGTCTTTGTCTCTCGTTTCTAGGAGCAACTTCAAAAATGTCTTGGTACTCGTCTCCTCAGAAGTTCAGCTTATCACCCACAAACTGATGGTCAGACAGAAAGGGTCAATCAAGTACTTGAAGACATGTTGACTTTAGTTGAGTTTTCCTATAACAATAGCAATCAAGAGAGCATTCGAATGGCAGCTTTCGAGGCTTTATATGGCAAGAAATGTAGGACACCTCTTAACTGGGTTGAAGTGGGTGACCGTGGTTACTTTGGACCTGATTTCATAAAGGAAACAAGAGAGCAGGTCAGTGTTATTCAGAGTCATTTGAAAGCGGCTCAGAACCATTAGAAAGCTTATGCGGACAAGAGGAGAAGACCTTTATAGTTTGAAGTTGGTGACCATGTGTACCTAAAGGTATCCCCGATGAGAGGTGTGCATCGGTTTGGAGTCCGTGTAAAGTTAGCTCCTCGTTATGTTGGACCTTATAAAATTTTGGAGCGGTGTGGTTCTGTTGCTTATCGTCTCCAACTCCCGGATATTCTGTCAGCAGTCCATAATGTCTTCCATGTTATCTAGTTAAAGAAGTGTCTGTGGGTTCCCAATGAAGTGGTGGAAATTGAAGGACTCCCTCTCCAACCTGATCTTTCCCATATTGAGCACCCTGTCAAAATCTTGGTTGAAAAAGAGAGAGTCACTAGGAACAAAGTGGTGAAATTCTATAAGGTCTAATGGCAAAATCATTCGGAGGATGAAGCAGCTTGGGAACAGGAGAGTTATATTCTAGAGCACTATCCCCATCTTCTCCCCAAAGTATCGAGGTAATGGTTTAAGTTAAAAGTTTACTTCTTATCCCTTTTCCCACACTATGCATTCACATGAAATCTCGATACGAGATTTTATTTAAGGGGGGAGAGCTGTAACACCCTCGGTGTTACGCCCTAAACAAATTACTAAACCATGTCATGAGCATCATGTTTATGTGATAATGCATGTGATGGAATGTGTGGATAAAATTTTTGGAACCTAAGAGGATCAATAAAAATGCTAAATGAGAGGCTATTCCATAACCCATGTATATCAAGTAGGGTTTAAAACCAATTTTTATTGAACAAAAATACTATAGAGCATATATGTGGTATTTAAATAAAGTTTGGAATATGAACTTTATAGATGACAATGAAATCCTTGCTCTACAAAAATAACATCGTTAGCTAACATTTTTGATAGCCTAGAAATGGAACTTGGAATCAAAATTCAAGACAGCAAGACAATGCCATGTTTGGGAATTTATTTTGTGAAATTGAGTTAAGAAGTGGTGTCATGTTTTAGCTTGAGTTGGTAGCCTGATAAGCCCTCTTGAGCTTGGTGAAGGTGGTTTGATTCCAAGAACAACCGTTTAGTTTTTATGGACGCTTTAAAATTCATGCACGACACGTTCTCGGTCTGGTTCGTTGGGTGAGCGCGGTCACCACGCCCGGCTACATGGCATCACGCACTAGTCGCGCGTGCGCTGCCGCACGTGGCTGGCCACGGCTGCTCTGGCCTAGCTATGGCCTGGTCGCCACTGGCCTCTAGCACGCAGAGCCGTTGCTGCTACTTGCGCAGCCAAGCGGTACTGCCGTTGGCCCTCCCACGATACCGCACTGTCGACCCACGCCGCGACGCAGCCGCTGCCGGTTTCGTACTTCTCTCTGCACCTCTGCGCCGCTGCTGGCCCAGTTTGAGGCCGTCACTGCCGCACGCACGTGGACGAGCTCACCGTCGCCTTGCCATTTATGGCGCTGTGCCACATGAGCCATGCCAGTCGTGGACTCGCGCGCTTGTCCATACTGTCTATGCGCGTGCCTCCACGATCACGCCGACCATGTCCCGCCAAGGCGAGCCCGAGCTGAGCCCACCTATCGTGCCCCGTCTCTCTCTCTCTGCTGCCGCTGTCAAGCTGCGCCATCAAATTAAGCATCGAGCGATCACCTCCATTCAATTCAGCACATCCACGGCTTCATCATCAACTCATCTCACTGCCTGACCCCACCCAGCCATGAAGAAGGCACTGCCAAGCTCCAATTTGGAACTTTTCCCACTGCCGTGCCGATAAGGCCATGCTTGGCCATGGCCGAGGGTAGCCCTCCATCACTTCACCCCAAGCCAATTCTTGTGCACCACTAGATTCGCCTTCATTCCCTCTTTGCCCTACGCGCCATAGCCGAACCTCTACCGCCTCCCTGTCGTTGCTGACGCGACCGTATCGCCACGGTACACCGCCGCACGGCTCGGCCGCACATGGCCAGCCCTTCTCCATCATCCTATGCTCTAATCATCACCTTGGCCTGGTCCACGGTAGCCTCCTGATGCTCGTGCGCTAACCAATTAGGTCTGTAGCTATCCCAACTCGCCAGAACAGTGGCGCCGCCATCGCGGATGGCCGCGCGCCGCTGTTGCCTTCCCCAGCAAGTCATTTCACCCTGCACCGCCGCTTACCATAGCCGCTTAGGTCAGAGATGGTGACCGATCCGTTATGAGGGTCGGCACAGGTCCTAGGTGGCCGACGCGGCCGTGCTGTGTACGCGGCCGTGCTGTGTCACCGCCGCGGTGCCGCCGTGCGCTGAGTCGCCGGTGGTAAGCGAGGGGGAATTCCAGGAAAGCCAGGGGGTTAAGTGAGAAGGTTTGAGAGAGGGGGAAATAGCGTTAGGACATAGTTGTGATCCGGAAGAAGTGTGAGGTCTACTTTGCAGAAGCGTCTTCCCGCGTGGGATACCCCCGTCGCGGGCTATCTCGCGTGCGGGTCGGCGTCGCGTGGGCCGCTGCGCGCTGCATCGCGCGGGCCTCACGTGTGGGCCGCACGGGAGATTCATTTTTCTTTTTCCTAGGAATTTAGTAATGATTTTCTAATTTAATTTTTGAGCTGATCTTTGGTAATTAATATAAAATCGTGTAGGTGTTTAAAAATTGTGAAACAAATTTTATTAGGTTCCTAAAATTATGGTCTATCTGTTGGTATATTTAGTTCATACTTATATGTGTTGATACTAGGAGCTATTAAATCGTTTGAGAATGCTTAATATTATTAAGTTAATAATTGTAGGAATTTTTGGGGTAAATTGGTGATAGCTTTAGTCCTAAAATTTTTATGGTAGCTTTATTGTATTATTATGTGCTCACTATAATTTTTGTAGCCTTAGAAAAGACTAAGCATTAGGATAGTTAAATGCTCTTTTTTTCAATATACATTAAATCACTAGTAGAAATAAAGATATACCCTTAAATTGCAAAACTACGTGTTTGTTAGCTGAACCTAACACTTTGCTTAATGAAGATGATAGTTAGCTTAGTATCTTAGTCATTTGAGCTAGCTTAGTAGCTTGGTATACGTATTCTTATTTTAAGAGTTGCTGTTGCCGAAATGCTAAGTTATTGCATCATCATTGTATGCATGCAGAGAACGAGTTGGTGGAGATAGTGACCATCGACGATCGTGAGTTCAAGGAGATTGTCGAGCAATACGAGGAGGAGGTCCTCATAAGGGAGGAAGTCCCGGAGCCGCCATAGACTGATTCAGCTAACACCACGCCTACCTAAGCCCCGATGCATGTGCATTTATGTTACAATAATTTGGGCTTCGCCCGCGCCGCCGTGGAAGCCCTACTCGCGCGCCTTCCTGCTTGCCCGCGCCGTCCCGAGAGCTCACCCGAGCCGCCGCGCTAGCTCGCGCCTGCGAGAGCCCTGCTCACGTGCCTCCGCACTGGCCAACGCCGTGGCGTCGCTATGCAGGCCGCACCTCCGCCAGGGGCGCGCTCGCCGTCCGCCCCTTTCCTCGCCGGGTACCAGCAGCCTCCCTTCCTACCTCCCCCTCTTTGCCAAGGCCTGCTCTGGATGTTATGGTTCGTGAGAAGAAGAGAAGCCCAGGCGTGCTGTGGATGGGGAACCGAGCTTGCCACGGCCGGTGGCCCGGCTCCTTGCCTCGCCGGCACCCACCGGCCTCCTCTTCCCCCTCCTCCTCTCACCTGCTGTGCATGTGCTTGGTCCTGGGGAAGAAGAGATGGGTCTAGTCGAAGGGGAGTCCAGTCAGGGGAAGAAGATGGCGTCAGGTGAGAGAAATTGAAGAAAAAAAAAGTAGAAGGCACGTGGGTAGTTTTGGCTACCGTGGAAACCGTGCGTAGTTTCTATGGTTGGGATTGCCTTTAGCGGGACATCGGTCATCAAAACAACTTTAGACATTTATCAGGGGCGGATTAAGACTTTAACAGCACCATATGAACCACTCTCCACAGGGACTTAATATAAGTGCACGCAAAGAAGAGACGTTGAATGGTTCTGGCTTACTGCAAAAGCAGCAAGTCGTGTCACCGTTCCAAATTCTTTCTGATAAATTATCTTTTATGAGAATGACCTACTTTTTAAAGAATCATATAAAGATTTATATCTTCAGAGATATCTTCAGACGTGATGGGATGCAAACAAGCCTTATGATGCCATAAATCAGCAACCTACATTACCGGAGATAAACAATCGATGAAGAATTCCCCAATTGCATCTTACAGGTTATATCCAACCACTTCATAACAAAAATGTTCTAGATACCGCGATCAACTGATTAAAAAAAATTACCACATGCATTATGTCATTTCAGTCAACTGCATGGTTCTAGCCAGCATCTCCTGGTACCTCCGGTATGACTCCTGCTTCTCCACCATGAACCTCTCATGACACCTCGCGATGAACCTCTCTGCCAGGCTATCATCTCATGCTAACCCCCACCATCTTCCTCGCCGTCGTCATCATCGTCTTCCATTATTCCACTCTCTTCATCAGGCCTCTCGAGATACCCGGAGATTGGTGTCAGCTGCAGCTCAGGAGGGATCTCTGTGTTCCAGGACGGATCATAGTAGGAATAGTGTAACAACGACCAGGGTTCAAGCAGGTCCAGGACGGCTGTCGTCTTCGACGACGACGAGGACGACCATGACGGCGGGAGCAGGTTGAGGTGCATTTCAGCACAGCCGCAAATGCAGCAGGGTGGATCCTTGTTGTTCGTCTCCCCCCCTCTGCTTCCTCTTGATCTTCCTCCTCGTCCCGATGCCTGCAGCCTGCTTCTTGCTTAGAAGGTCGAGGAGCATCGCCCTCGCGCCGCCCAGCGCCATGGCGACGCGGCCGGCGTGCTTGGAGACGAAGGCATGGACGATGCGCCTGATCCTGAGGATCTTGAGGAGGGCCTTGTTTGGTGGCTCGTGCTGAGCTCTGCCTCTGAGCTTGAGATCGTTGGAGGGGGAAGGGGTGTGAAGTAGGTGGTGATCCGCCATGAGAGTCTAGTGCTGCTTGCACAAGTTGGTGGCTCTCGCTACTGGCCTGGTCGTTCATATATGTGATGTGACTTGTGGCCTGGGTCCGATGCATGCAATGCATGCTAGTGTGACTGTGTGACAGTGTGAGTGTTATTTGGTTCGGAGATTTTTTTTTTAACTTGCCCCCTTGATCTTCTTATTCATTGACATCCGGTTCAGCGTAATCGCGAACCACCAGATCGATTACAAAACTAGGGAGGGGATCAAGCCATAGGAATGGTTGATCCAGGTCCCAACCAAGACTCGCGCTTCTCTATAGATTACCGAGGTGGGGCACAAGTCCAACGCATCCGACTGGAGGGCGTTCACCGAATTCAAAGAGTCGGTCTCCAAAATAATCCTAGAGATGCCTTGGTTCGACGCCGCTTGCAGAGCTGCTATGCACGCTTGGGCTTCGGCACAATAAGATCACAGTTGACTACAAAAAGTTAAACATGTGTGTTAATGAAGCCAAGTGTTCTGTTCATGTAACAGCTCTCAATGTCTTCATGCAAAAGCTCGGACTTTAATTGCAACCATATATAGGATCTTTGTTTGATTTTTTTTAAAAAAAAATTTAAACATTCATTGCATCACAATGTAATAGAGAGATGGGGACCATGTTACCCCAATCTATGTTTTCTAGTATATGCTTGATATTACAAGTTGGATAATGAGAAAGTGTCAGACAAGAGAAAATGCATGAATTTCAGATGCTTGCACGTCTGGCCTTTTTAGCAAACCTATCTACATTACAGTATCTCTATGGATCTTGATTAACGAGTAGCTTCTTGATTGATGTCTTGCACTTCAGCAATGATAGGACGTACGTAATGACCAACGTCCAAGATGAGTGGAAATCCAGCAGCACCACAGAGGCCAGCACCTAGCCTGGTTGTTAGTGAATAATAAAGTTGCATCCTGCGGATCAAGAGTTGCAGCTAACTTGACGACAAAAAGGAGGGTGTGAGCTTTAGGTTCTAAGACCTGAGAAATCGCTTCTTGGAAAAAGAAATGTGGAAAATACTTCTAGCAGCCTCTAAGGCTTTGATATTAGGATATTTTCTTGCATTTTTTTTAGATAAGGTATATTTTCTTGTATATCGGTTATAAGACAACCAATATACATTGCATATTAAGACCCCCTTTCAAATGTGGGATTGAAAAGATACAGGAAAAAGAAAAACACAGGAATGCGATAGGAATAATATGCAAAACAAAGAAATAAAAAACACAAGATTTTTATAGAAATAGGTGTTTTGATGAATTGTAGAAAAAACACAGGAAGCCACATGTGGTTTAAGTGGGTGATTTTCCTATATAGTTTCGTTATGAAATCAAACACAGAGGAAAGTTCCCTACGTTTTTCATACGGACGATTCCTGTGAACCAAAGGACACTGTAGCAACTTATATATCCAAAGGAACATGAATTCTACATTTCTTTGTTTTTCATGCAATCTAGGTCTAAGGCCCATTTGGAACACAGGAATCATACAGGAATTTCACATAAACCAGTCTAGTTTCACATGAAAAAAACACCAGAACAGTTCCGCATGCAATCCAAATAGGCCCTAAATGTTCGATCTGATTAGCTAGGTCAGATATTAGATTCAAATAGTTATTTTGGATATCCATGAGCTGCCAATTGCTAAAGCCCAAGATAAAACTTCAGCCCAAACGGGTAAGTGGAACATACTTGGTTATAGAAGTATAGATGAACGAACTCTACTAACCTCACTTGATATTCTAAGAAACTAAAAATAAATTGAGAAAATGAAAATAGTCAGTTAATGCAAATTTTCAGTAGCAACAGTTTGGAAGTTGAGAAAAAAAAACCAAATCATTTGACTAAAAAAATTTAACGGTATTGCTGGGAGTCAGACGTCCGTCCACGTCGGACGTCCCTGTTGGTGGACCCGACGTCTGTGACAGAACCGCCCAATTTATACAAAATCAAGTATGACTGTCCCCGCTAACACGTTGACATACACATACTTTTACTCATATAAACCCGGTAGTCCGCCGAGTATCACGAAGGACCTCGGTAAATCAACATCACAACCAAGATCGCGTGATTAAGTAAATACACATCACATAAGCAGAGTAGCAGCGGAAATAATATTACAAATAGATTCACAAATAATATTAAAAGTTTGGGTTTCAAAACTGATTATTGAAAACAACATAGCTTTCAAATGATTACATTAATATAAGTTTTAAATACATTGCTAGCATCAGTGACATCATCCGACAAAAGCATATAGGTGAGAAATAACTATAGAATCACCGAGGCCACCGGCGGTTAGCCACCATCTCCAATAGGTCGAGAACTTCACCTGCAACATGGTGGGATAAACCCTGAGTACTCGAATGTACTCAGCTAGACTTACCCGTCATAAACCAGAAATAAAGTGACACCAAGGATTATGCAAGGCTTTATCAGTGGATCTAGCTGGACAACCTTTTTGCATAAAAGCTTGAGTAACCATTAGCATTATTCACCTATACTAGCAGTGACTTTTAGCCATTACCTACCATCTATATTAGCACCTGTACTAATCAATCACTTGATTAATTAAGTTGTAAACAATAATAACCATATTAGGTATTTCATGGCTCATTGTCATTATCATCATCATCATTTAACCATATCTTTAATTTAGTGACTCTACGTTGCCGCTGCTCAGTCAAGTTCTCACTATCCAAGAGAGACGGCGATTCGAATCGATTCCTATCCGGCCAATTAAGTGATAGGCATGCGTTCAACATGACATGAGGACGTACAACGAATCGGTCCTTAAACGACACAGACGGGGATAGATTCACACCCAAGACCTCCATGCCTTGTTGCTGCACTACTGTCATCCCGTCCGGTCTCTTTTCATTATTAACACATGGTTCTTTTTCATGATAGCAAATATAGCCAACCGTGACCAGAGCTCATCCTACATCTCGCAGGTGACAGGAAATCACCCGACTTCTACCGGTCTAAGCATAGCTAAGCATCATTCGATCCTACACTTAATTAGGATTCATATGATTTTATCTGGACAATGTAAGGATATAATGCAACAATTGGTTCCAACCAATTCCTATACTTAATGTATCATCAACAATAAAAGATACTCAAGATATTTGTAAAAATATGGGAGACTTAGAATGCTCCGGGGCTTGCCTGGGATCCAACACAAGTCAGTTCAGTTAGCTTGCACCGTCCTGGTGACATCTCAACTCCTAGCACTTGCTTAGTCCTTCCATCTTCGGTATAGATCCTCCATACACCGTCTTCGTGTTCGGCTCCAACATCACGTCCTTCACGTGGTTCATCTAGCGCACCTAGATGAGATGCAAGATGCATGTGTATGAATGTGATGAATGGTAACACAAGATGCATCACATAAGCATTCAAGACAAACACAAGATTATGCAAGACATAGACACCAATAGCTATTTAACTAACATCACACAACCTATCATGCTAAGATGGTAAAGAAGACGACAACACCAAGCATGACACAAGTTTCCCAAGATCTCAGGTGCTCTAACTCAGTCATCATTCAAGGCATAAGTCACACTTAACCATATACAAGCAAACACTATAATTGGAATCTACCAATTTTTCGACATGCAAACAGTAGCTACAAGATTTAGCTATAACTGGAGTTACACAAATCCAAATGACTTGCAAGAAGATATTTTGGAAAGCTTATGAAATTATCTACATTTCATCTATAACCATCATAGCATGATTCACAAGTTAAGTAGGTCGAAATTATACATTTACAGAAACTGGTCCACAATTGACAGAGAGCAGCCATTTCTGAAACCCAACTTTAAACAGGCATAACTCACAAACTACTTGGCCCAATGACACCAAATTTTAACAGAAGCTAGATACATGAATTATCTACAACTTTTATATAAATAAGTTTCACAACAAAGCACATTATCATGAAGAACTTTGCTAAGTTCCCAGATCTGTCCATAAACCACATTTGCAAGAAAATAAATATTAACTTATGTTGCAAACACATAATTAGGCAAAACCAACTTTACCAACATGTCACACATGACTAAAGAACACCAGAAAACCTAGTGTCCATGACCAAATAAATTCTTTTAATGCATTTCTTAATTTATTTTAGATAACAAGGTGACTTAATGAACATATATCAAAAGTATACAATAAATTCTACAAAAATTACAGTGGCTCACATATCCTCTCAATAGTGTACTGTACAAAATTCACTCCATTTGAATATGTATAGCAACCTCTATGAAAAAGACAAGTTGCTAAAGCAAGAAATCATGTGAGAGCGAGATAAACAAATAACTCACTCATACTTCATCCAATACTCATGAAATTTTTACCACACATCAACTCTCACATTAGTAGCATGCCACAAAAATTTCACTTCATTTGGAGCCCTAGATCTACAGTCATGGAAAATAACAAATTCAACTAGCATTAAAACCCTAACTGCACAAATCCATTTTTATAGCTAAAACTTTAAACTAAAACATGCCATATTATAGATCTACTGCATAGACAATTTCATAAGGATTCCAAAAAGTCCTCATTTGCTATTTTACGATTTTTTTATGAATTACTATGAATTTCTAAAGTTCAGCAAATTTCCTCAAAGAATGTCCTAAACAGCACTATTCATTTGAGTCACTGATTCTTCACTTAACCCCCTCACTTTCTTCCAATTTGAGCGCGAAGTCCTTCGTCTTCTCTGCTTCCGACGGCAGCACAGAGAGCCCGGCTGGCTCGCGGCTCCGGCAACCGTAGCCATCACCGGCGGCGGTGGAGTGGTGGGGAAGGACCAGGGGTCCCGCTCGCGCCCGCTGGTGGTCTCGGATGGCCGAGAGGCGGCCCGAGGTGGACCGGCCATGTGCACCGGCGGTCGGAGGCGACGGCGGCCGGCGACTGCGGTGCTCCCAACATGGTTTTGGGCGGCGAGCACGAGCACG